TTAGAGGTTGTTGTGAAGCGTCTAGAGTCCATTTACTTTGCTGAATACGGATATTTGTTTCCCCTAACAGGTAGGAAGGGTAATATTTAAGTGTTACAGGATTACATCGAGTGTCCTAAAACAGTCACAAAATGATCACGAAACAATCAAACTGATGGGTCAACGCCAGAAATGACAGTTACAAATTTAAGTTACGATGCTTTTCTGTCAAATTAAGGTATCTCATTCTAATAATAGGTCCATATATTGAAAGACTGAACCAAAAATCGTTTGTCAATTAAGAGAAACATAACAAGATTTCAGGGTGGGGGGAGGTACACATCAATTCATCGTAATTGACCACAAATGTCACATTACGAAACTTAGGAAAAAATTATTTAACTTTCCGTTCTTTCGATCTGATCGATCTGAATCCTGGGGTTAAGTTATGTCGTCTGCCGTTTCTGATTCAAAAGTACAATACCAACCTATATAAACGTCACAGATAAAAGTTCCTATCGAGACATAACGGTTTGAACTACAATGCGCAACGTAAGAAATAACCTTCAGACATAAAGTACTGATAAATAGCTCTCACTGATTCAGAGCACTTTTTAATTGAGTGTCGTAAAACCAAAATCAAAGAAATCACTTTGCCCAGTTAGATCCAATTACAAGGACACAACAAATCCATTGAAGGAGACAAAATTGGAAGCATATACATGTAGCTGGAGGAATTTGGATGACAAAGTGATGCGAGTTTTGTACGTCAATCACTGTGCACAGTAATGCAAAACCAATTAAAATCCGAATTAACTTCAACATTCAAGGGAATAACCGCTCTAAAAATACAGTCTTTCACTAGGCATCAAGAACCCAAAGAGCCCAAAATAATAACACGATGTAAGAAATGCAAAAAAAAAAAAAAGAATACGTTTTCATGAGTTCTCAATTACTCTCTCAAGGATAGGCTGTCTTTTAATTATTTATCTATTAGTGATTGTATTCTTCTTTGCACAAACTTTCTCTCTTTAGACGAACGGAAACTGGATCGTGTTCTTCTTGAAACCGAGCGGAATCGGCAAATGGCCAACCAGATTGCACAAAGAACCTTTACAGCATCTCACAGTTCAGACAAAAATGTCCTTCCCACTGGTCCTCAGGTAGTATTACGCTACGTTACAACTCTTTCTTTTGGAAGCTGTTGTACTAAATATTTGTTAACCAACCCTCTCTCTCTCTGGTTTAGCCATTGTTGGGAATATCTGAGGAGGAATTGTTGCCTCCTACAACAGCACAGCCAAGCGCAGCACAAAAACGCAAAGAGCAGCGTAGCGCAAAACAACACTTCATAACACTTAACAACACAAAAAAGCAAAGCAGAATATAGCAAGCACAGCACACCACAGTGTACCACACAACATCACACCACAGTCACTCCACTCCACGACGCGCTACGCCATGCACGTCGCACCACGCTACGCCACCGCATAGCATAGCAGAGCGCAACCCAACACAATTAAACACAGTTGCATCTCTTGAAAAAAATATTCCATTCAACCGCGTTCAGTATTTGTAGCAACCAGAATTTCAGACTTCTCTTGCAACCTCATGCGTGTATCGTTATGTCAATCAACAATCTTCGTTTGACGGTCAGCTGACATTACATGATGCATACGTGGTTCATCATTTTCATTCGGTAATATACCGAATCTTATACGTAATGTGCAGACTGCAGCTTGTTCCACCAAAAGAGAAAAATGTTCTAGTTTTTCTGTAGCCCCCTTTACCCTCATAGCATCTCTCTTTGACCAGATGTACAAATGGGTATACTATACATGAAAATGTTGCATAAACCTGGGAAATATGTTGAAGGTAGGGAGGTTTGACGCCTCCGATGAAATACAGTCCCATCCACAGATAGAAGCGATATTATTATTTGCTTTAACCGAGAGAATAGTAGTGAAAGTGACCTCCACGAGGTGGATCACTGTGACTTTAAATAATGATCAACATTGCGCTGATTTTTATTTTGTTTGCGTTGTACCGAGAGACTTGCATGAAAGAGGACCACCTGTGCTTGCCGGACGTTAGCATTAAAGAAGAGAGAGGGACTTCGTTTTCGAAGGTTTTCATTGGCGCTCCAGTTTACACCTACGACTCTTGAACCTATAATAGCACTTACATGTGACGTTTCCTCAAGAGCTGTAAACCAGAGATAAATATTAACTTAAGAGTATCTCGGCGGTCAAGAAAACTTAGTTTTTTTTAACGCCCTTCTCGACATCTTGGCAATGCAAAATTATCCTGTTGATATGAACTTTT